AGCTAGCAAGAGAATGAGTCCAGAGTTAAACGATGTTTTGAATGATGCCGTAAAAGTGATCAACTTCATACAGTCCAGGCCTTTGAATCATAGACTGTTTCAGTCACCTTGTGAAGACGGTGGGTCAGAACATAAACAGCTCCTGCTTCACACTGACGTCCGCATGGTTATCCCGAGGGAAGACGTTACAGCGGCTGTTCGAGCTACGCAATGAAGTGAGGGCATTTCTGTCGGAGCACACACACCCACTTGTGGCTATGTTCGACGACGCTGACTGGGTAGCTCGGCTGGGATACCTCTCTGATATTTTCAGCAAACTCAACCAGCTGAATCTCTCTCTTCAAGGTAAAGACACACATGTTCTTAGCTTGTATGACAAAGTGTGTGGATTCATGGAGAAGATCAAGCTCTGGCAGAGCAAATGTGAAAAAAGGGATACAAGTTGTTTCCTGCAGCTGAACGCATACATTGCTACTGGTGAATGTGACAGAGCTCCAATTGTGAAAATAGTACACACACATTTGTCCAAGCTCAAGAATGAGTTCAACTCCTACTTCCCTGATATTGACAACAAGTCATCCACACTGGACTGGGTGCGTAATCCATTTGTGACGTGCATTAAAGCAGCATTCCCGCCAGACTGCAAGAAGACCTCATAGATGTGTCCTCAGATAGGAGCCTGAAGATGAGGTACTCAAGCACACCACTGACACAGTTCTGGTGTGGTGTGGAGAAGGAGTATCCTGAATTGGGGAAACATGCCCTGAATGAACTGTTGCCTTTTGGGTCCACATACCTGTGTGAGGTGACATTCTCCGCCATGATCCACATCAAGACTAAACACAGGAACAGACTCAACTTGGAGAATAACCTGGTCACAGCTGTTGCAACAATCTCCCCCAGACTCACAAAACTGATGAGGGAGAAACAGGCTCAAGTGTCACATTAACTGGTGAGTTACCTTACTTTTTCTTTTAAGTCTTTAAACAATGGCTATTATAATGTATGATTAGTTATGATTGAATATGATTTAAGTGTCACATTAATTGTCGCATTGGGTCACACAGACAAAAATATCCTCCTCTTCTCTATCTCTCCTCGTCACTTCTCTCCTTCTTCCACTCCCAGGTTTCACCTTAGCTACACACAGGGCCGTATCCAGGCCCCGCCCCCCGGCCCGGGTCTGATATGTGCTGCCACCACACACACACACACACACACACACACACACACACACACACACACACACACACACACACACACACACACACACACACACACACACACACACACACACACACACACACACACACACACACACAATATATAGACTATTAATATATCCTGGGGATCACCACGATTGATTGCGTAGTAGGGGGTACTTTAGGTTGGCTTGAAATGCTTTGGGGGTACAGTACTCAAAAAAGGTTGGGAACCACTGCTCTATGCAACCCAACATTGCTTAAATTACTTGCTGTTGGAGTCAAAGCATATCTGCTTGTACAGTATGGGCTACTGCCCTGCGTCAGCTTTGAAATAATGGCTTGTTGGATATAGTAGTTCAGCATAATGTCGTTGTCTACCCCCTTCCCCCCCCCCCCCCCCCCCCCCCCTCTAAAACGCCGCAATTGGACTTGTTTGTTTTCTTCCGTAACATAAAGAGATACATATGTAACTTGCGCTTTTTTCCGCTAGTGCTCCAACACATTGTAAATGATAGGCTAAGGGCCGGGATATCTCTTATACCTCATTCACACCAACGGTGTTTCAGGGCCGGTTCGGAGCTGGAGCTTGAAAAGCACCGGGTTTTCCTGTTCACACCGCAGCGGAGCAGCCTCTTAGCTCCGGAATCCGGTTTGTTTCAAGCACCAAAAAATTGTCTGGCTAGAGCAAAAGCACCACATACGTCACGCTTGCGTCGAGGCGGGGGCAGGGGCTGGATCAACTCCTGAACAACAACAAAAAGCCAGAGTTTTATCCAGTTTGTACACAACGATGGAGAAACTTAACAAGCAGCAGTGGTCCACTGAAGAGACCAGCTACCTACTGGGAATCTGGTCTTCCGAAGAGGTACAGAGGAAGCTGGAGCACAATCGGCCATTGTTGTTGTTGTTGTTGTCGGTGTGAGGGGTTTCCGCACGGTTTGGCTTTATGAAGCAGGCAAGTAAACGGTCATGTCATGACGCAAACGATGACGCAGTACCAGTCGGACTCTGGGCGGTGTGAAAAGAGCCGGAGCTAAACCGAAGAACCGGTTCTGAACCTGAAAAGCTCTAGCACGGAGCTTGAACCGGAGTTGCATTGGTGTGAATGAGGTATTAGTGGTTGACCAATCACAACAGAGCTGGCCAGCTAACCAATCAGAGCAGACTGGGTTCTGGTTTCAGACAGAGGGTGAAAAGAGGTGCTGCAGCACAGGCCGTATGAGCAAAATAAAGACCTTTTTTAACATTAAAGCATGTAGAAATCTCACATTAGAGACTCAAAATACAAATATGAACCTGAACATGAGCATAATAGAGCTCCTTTAATTTAACTGAGTGTGCTGTAAATGTGCAATGATAGAAACTTGATCTTGTTCTGATTCAGTTCAAATCCTGAGATTCCATTTATGTTGTTATATATCCTTGTTGGAAGTCACAAAAGACAGACATTAAGTCTGATGCTTTAAATGGTTCTTCATGTAACACAGATATTGTTTCGACATTTATGAACCACATCATTTGTTCCGTGACTTAGTGTGTACAGACGGCCAGACCCATCGCAATACTTAATGATCTCATAGCTTACTTTTTTCCGATGTTGAGCAGTATTGACTAATTATCTTTGAAATGTCTTTCTATCCTGCTGACACTTTATCTATATTTTTCCCCAGCATCTTACCCAACATGTCCGTATATTAACAAGTAACTTACTCAATGGTTCTGTAAGATAAAAAAAATGTCATATAAAACGTCCCCAATGGAACTATTGAATAATTGTATGTACTAAAACTTTTCTTAATTTCTGTAGAGTATAACATTGGCTATTTTATTGTCAGCCACTTCTTATGGTCTGTAAAACAATTTCCTGTATTGTATTGTCATACAAAAAGTCTTAACAATAATTACACACTTTAGTTTTTAGTTTTTATTATTTTGACATTCACATTATCATAAGATCCCACAAAAACACAGTGTTGAATCTATTCCTAACAAATGAAAACAATGCTCAAGAATAAACGAGACAATGCAATACACATTTAAAAAATAAATACAAGCTTTTCAATTACAAGCCAACAACAAGGCATTTCATCTATTTCTTAGAAATTAAAAGGCAACAGTTCTCAAGAATAAATGAGAGACAATGTTATCAATGCAATCCATTAAAAACAATGTCAATACAAGCTTTTTAATGTATACTTATTAGAGGCTCGACTGAATGTGTCACTACATCATCGAGGTCCCCATTTACCTATTCAACTTCAATACATAGAGATCAATACCAAATGCACAAAAATAGGTATCATGGCTCTCGTTGAAGTGGTCATTGTTTAAGGAGAACACGTAGAAGCAGTGGTCGATTTTGATATCTTATTGCCAAATGTTTAGCCATTTGTTTAACCCATTCAATTAGATATTTCAATCAAGACAACACAGTGTTGTCTGCGTCATATAGTTAATTGTTTAATGTGTTTTTTTGACAGTAACATCCTCTACTGGCTACTCTTCCAATTGTTCTTGGCAGTTTTCTATGTTTTTTGACTCAAGGTGCTTAGTGATTCAGTATTTTTTTACTATTTGTTAAATGGATATTTTAATTTCATAGCAAAAAGGAGGGTTGTCATCCATTGCTGCGAAATGGTTTTGGTATTGAATGTTGTTTGGAGAAGGGGGCGTGATCACAAGACAACCATGACTATATATTAGAGCAGTATGATTTCATAAAAAAGTTCTTACTTTGTTAGCTTTCTAGAGTTAGTGTGTGAGTCAGTGTGTCTGTCTTTTGTAGACCTCATGCAAATAAACACAATGTACATGTACTTTCTTTATGGAATATATATTCTGTTTTACAGTATGGCTCTGTAACCAGTCGGATACCAAAATGCTTCAACCTGGTTGTTTGTAAGATATCTTTTATTTTCCTAGCGTCCTTCAAGATAACATCATTTACACTCTCATTTCATTTGTGACAAAATATAGCCACAGGGTATCGATTATCTGTATAATCCCTTTCAAAAATCCATCGTAGTGCTTGAAGGTTTAATAAGATGGAGAAAATAAATCTAGTATTCTCTCCCAATTACATAACGTGACAGCACAGCAGTGAACCCTGAACTTCATTCTTCTGCTGGTGGAAGAGTTTATCTACCTCAGGAATACCCTTTCATCACAGTGTTGTCCAGACACTTTCAAAAAACATGTGGTCCCTATGTGTGTGTATCAGTCTACATACATAAGTTGTAATAGGCAATGATGCATCCTCTGCGTGTTGTACAAACATATTGATATTCTCGGCTGTTCAGAAATTATGTCTCGGAAAAAAATGTAAGTAAGTAAGTTCCCTTGTATGGGATAAACTATTCCTTATCAAACAAGTATCCCCTCATCCTGCGGAGACCGTGATTTTTGCTTGAGAAAATCAATCAAGCCATTTATGGGGCGAAGCCTACAAGCTAGTTCAGGCAGTCAACTCAAGTACTTATGCTGCATTCATACATAACGCCCCTTGCCACTCTACAACCAACCAAACAGAGTCTCCTTAATATACCGCTCTATTTAACCTGCAGATCTCTCTCCATGCATTGCTTGCTGCTGCTTTGCTGCAGCTACGTCGCTGCTGCTTGCCTGCCCCACCACCACCCCAGCTTCCACCTGTAGGCTCGGGGTTAGTTATTTAATCATCACTCATCGTGCTATGTATATCTGTGGAGTGATGAGACCCGAGCCTAGTCGCCAAACTCAACTATATGCTGCTTCTAATAAACATGTTAAAGAAACACGTGAGTTGTCTGACTGAAATTATGTTTTGGAATAAATACACCTCAACTGTTACTTGTACTTCTTTACACCACTATGGTAACAACAACGATTTGTAGAGAAAGCGCTTAAATGTCAGACAAATGATGCAGCAGTCTGCGTCACAGCCACTCTTTAAAACATTTACTATAAGTAATGTAGGCTACTAAAGTACGTTCCACACGCACTCTCACTTGCCTGTTCTACTTATACCCTGGGGAATGAAAATTGTCTACACACTCATTTCTAAAAGCTTTTATTTTCATAGTTCTCACAGTTCAAAGAGTTACAAGTAAATTATTTAAGGGGATTGAGATTGTTTTATTTTAATTATTAACAAATCAAATGTAAAGGATACATCTTTATTCTACTAACAAGCACTGACAGTATAGTCAAAGCCTTATTTCTTTGTGAAAAAACAGTACTGTGCGCCTCCAACTGTATCATGTGGTTTCTCATTATCAGGCTGAGTTTTTTTCCGTGGAACTATTTCATCCACTTAAAAGTGTCTAGGTCTATTGTGACTGAGCAAAGTCCATCGGCTAATGAGCACTGTGTGATACTGTCAAAAGCTCCAGAACTTGAGAGTTCCTTGACTGTTTTGTAAAGCACTGTGTCTTTGAACTATCAAATGAACTTTCTAGGTAAACTGCATTTATGTTCAGAAACTGTTCAAACAGACTTTTAGCTTTCAAATTGAGAGAGATGACAGGACTGACACCACTCTTATATCGATCTATTTCATATAAAGCCACCACCAGCAGTTAGCTTAGCAAAGTTTATCACACAATCTGGAAACAACGGAAAAGAGCTAAATCTGCCTACCAGCAAGTATAAAGGTCAAAAATAAATACCAAAAAATAAGTATACCTTTGGAGGGAGGCACTTCTCCCCCCATTTACAGTCTTCATGCTAGACTCAGCTAATGGGTTGTAGCTTGAGAATACATAATAGAGTATAATAGCATACTCCAAAGCGGTGTTGACTTTCCCATCAAACATCCAGCAGGAAACCAAATAAATTAGCAAATCTTCTGCAAAAAAATCCATAAATTGTCATTATATTTCCTTCAAATGAACGCCAGTCTAGATGTTAGTGCAGTGCTTGCTGGTAGAATACATTATATGTTTGGTTTTGGACCACATTTTTTGGTAAGAAAGTTATAAGAACAGTTTTATCCTCAAAATAGAACACCTTATCACATTCCTTAACAACATGTAGATTGCTGCTTAAAATTGAAAGAGAAGCCAACATACAGTACATGCATCAGACAGGGTAAACAAGGAAAATGGGTGTCACTTTTGTAAACACTTTAAGAGGCAAACTTATGAAACATGAGCAGCTGTCACTTAATTTAAACATTTAGTACATACAGTAAATGGCAGACGTCATCCCTGAACGGTTATTCCTTTTTTCTGGAATGTACTGATTTGGTGAGTTATTTTTCCAACAAACAAGTATAACTATTACAGATTAAACCTGAAGTATTCCATTTCTGTGCTCAATATTAAGGTTTTTGTTGTGTTCTGCTGTACAACCTTTGGTATGTGATGTGAAATGCATGATTTTGTATGAAAGGTGGAAGCCACTTGTCGCTTTAGCTTCTTTCACATCTTTCTATTACTCAACAGTAAATAGGTATTTTTTTAATGGGCTACGTTGGTTTAGGGGTGTAAAGACACTTGCAAGCACATTGTTAATTCTTAACAATTGCTTAGTTGGCTCAACTTTCACAGCATGTAACATATTGTGCAAACACCCCGTCTCTTTCATTGTGACCGCACGTAAAAGAAGCCATTATTACCCTGCTCATTTTGTCATAACGGCATACACAAGTTGTACCGGAAAAAATACAATACAAATACAACTGTTTTCTAGTGATAACATTTGTGACATCATGAGACAACTTATTCTCCCACATAACCAGCACAAAGTGTTTCAACCCTAAAGTCTTTCACTCCACGAACTACTGCAAAGTGGTCAGTACGTCTACTCTGCTCTTGTCACCAGCATAACTCATGCTAATGTTGTTGTCCTTGATGGTGTTGGAGGCATGGCAGGGGCTCCAGCCGAGGCACCACGAGCCCAGCTGCTTCACCTCCCTTCTGAAACTCTTGCTGAAGATGTAGTAGATCAAAGGATTGTACACAGTGGAGCTCTTTGCAAACATGCATGGGAGGAGACTGACTTCAGGTGGGATGTTGCTGCTGTCCCCCAGAATAGACCACATACTGACGATGGCATAGGGTGTCCAGCATACTATAAAGCCAAAGCTGACGAGCACAGCAATCTGCAATAGAATCGAAGAACAGTCATTAAAAATGTGAAAATATAAAAAACCATCCTATGGTTTTTTATGGATGTTTTGTCCCGCATTCCCATCCTGAATTATGTCTGCTAGATGCCCTTTATACCATGTGTTGTAATATTTTTGTAAACATTTTCAACTGTATTGTCCTTGGTAATTATAAAATCAGAATGTAAATTCAATTCCACCAGTTATCCAATATTTGACATGTTTGTCAGTCTCGGGGCAACAATATACAGCTTGTACTAAGCAGCTGATCTTAGATTCAAGAATTTCATTAAACAAACAAATTATTGCTAGCTATCCTTAGCAAAAAGTTTAAAAGTCCTCTATACCATTGTTTTGCAACTAGCGGTAGGCTACTTGAACCCAAAAGTATTTTTTCAAGATTTTAGAGTAGCTAAACGTAACTAAAAACAAATATCTTTACATATTGAGTTGGTTGTATAATGTGCTACAGATGAGTGTGTGAAAATGTACCCCATTTAACTCTAAACAATAGATATATTATTTAAATAGCTAAAAGTTATATATGAACGGTTCAAATAGTAATCTAAATGGATGAAGTAATTGAAATAGCAAGCTAAAACTAATATAAGCAGTCTCCGAATATACGGCTAAGATCAGACTTTGATTAGGTTTTGTTTTTGAAAGACGGAGTCACTACACCAGAATGTAAGTGTTGTGGTGACAGTTACGGGACATAATTCACTGAGTCATATAGTGTGTGTTGCACCACGGACGAGTTAGTGAGTGCACCGGTGTTGTTCTTAGTCTAGGTTGACATGAGTAGCGGGCAGATGTACGTCCCTTGTCTTTATACTAATGAATAATAAAGTGTGGAGTTCCATACTGAACACACCGCCTCTGACTCCCTTTCATCGGCTCTACAGTGTACTTGTTACATAAGCAGCTACTGGGACTGTTTGCATTTGTGAATTTTAAATATGCATACAGTATGAATCATTAAATAACCTGCCACTGTTAATATAAAAAAAATTATTCAAACAGATATTGAAGCCCCCAAGGACAAACAGGAATCTGAATTACAATGACAGGTGTCTCATTGGTGAGAGTCACTTACCACCAACAGCCTTTGATGGAGCTTGATATTTTTGGGGACTCGGTTGATGTTGGAAATTGACTTTTTGTAGGTGAAATAGAGCTTGATGGCTATGCCAAAATAACAGCAGAGTATGATAATGGAAGGCAGGACGAGGTTGAAGGTAAATAAACTGACGACGAAGGTGAAACCCTCATGTTTCATTTGTCCCCAGGCCAGAGAGCAGGACAGACCGAAGGGCTCCGGCCCGTAACGCCCCAGCCCAGGATGGGAAACAGAGCCCAGATCAGACCATACAGCCAGACCCAGAGACAGAGAATCTTCACCTTTCTCCAGCCGATTTTCTCATCTGCAGAGAAAAAAAATGGTGTGCTGTTTTTATTTGTTGCTCTGGTTGTTTACCCACGGTTCATTGTAGACAGATGGTCCTTTATTAAGGCACTATGTGTAGTTGTTGACAACTTTTGCTATTAACACATGTGGGAAATGCTGATATAAGCGGCCTCAACTTCATGGCAGTTTGCAACAAACAGCGTCTTGAATTTTAACCTGTTAGTTGAACTGTTAAGCATATTTGTATAAGGCAAGGCAAGGCAAGGCAAGGCAAGGCAAGGCAAGGCAAGGCTAGGCAAGGCAAGGCAAGGCAAGGCAAGGCAAGGCAAGGCAAGGCAAGCAAGGCAAGGCAAGGCAAGGCAAGGCAAGGCAAGGCAAGGCAAGGCAAGGCAAGGCAAGGCAAGGCAAGGCAAGGCAAGGCAAGGCAAGGCAAGGCAAGGCAAGGCAAGGCAAGGCAAGGCAAGGCAAGGCAAGGCAAGGCAAGGCAAGGCAAGGCAAGGCAAGGCAAGGCAAGGCAAGGCAAGGCAAGGCAAGGCAAGGCAAGGCAAGGCAAGGCAAGGCAAGGCAAGGCAAGGCAAGGCAAGGCAAGGCAAGGCAAGGCAAGGCAAGGCAAGGCAAGGCAAGGCAAGGCAAGGCAAGGCAGCAAGGCAAGGCAAGGCAAGGCAAGGCAAGGCAAGGCAAGGCAAGGCAAGGCAAGGCAAGGCAAGGCAAGGCAAGGCAAGGCAAGGCAAGGCAAGCAAGGCAAGGCAAGGCAAGGCAAGGCAAGGCAAGGCAAGGCAAGGCAAGGCAAGGCAAGGCAAGGCAAGGCAAGGCAAGGCAAGGCAAGGCAAGGCAAGGCAAGGCAAGGCAAGGCAAGGCAAGGCAAGGCAAGGCAACGCAAGGCAAGGCAAGGCAAGGCAAGGCAAGGCAAGGCAAGGCAAGGCAAGGCAAGGCAAGGCAAGGCAAGGCAAGGCAAGGCAAGGCAAGGCAAGGCAAGGCAAGGCAAGGCAAGGCAAGGCAAGGCAAGGCAAGGCAAGGCAAGGCAAGGCAAGGCAAGCAGGCAAGGCAAGGCAAGGCAAGGCAAGGCAAGGCAAGGCAAGGCAAGGCAAGGCAAGGCAAGGCAAGGCAAGGCAAGGCAAGGCAAGGCAAGGCAAGGCAAGGCCAGGCAAGGCAAGGCAAGGCAAGCAGAGGCAAGGCAAGGCAAGGCAAGGCAAGGCAAGCAGGCAAGGCAAGGCAAGGCAAGGCAAGGCAAGGCAAGGCAAGGCAAGGCAAGGCAAGGCAAGGCAAGGCAAGGCAAGGCAAGGCAAGGCAAGGCAAGGCAAGGCAAGGCAAGGCAAGGCAAGGCAAGGCAAAGGCAAGGACAAGGCAAGGCAAGGCAAGGCAAGGCAAGGCAAGGCAAGGCAAGGCAAGGCAAGGCCAAGGCAAGGGCAAGGCAAGGCAAGGCAAGGCAAGGCAAGCAGGCAAGGCAAGGCAGCAAGGCAAAGGCAAGGCCAAGGCAGGCAAGGCAAGGCAAAGCAAGGCACGGCAAGGCAAGGCAAGGCAAAGGCAACGGCTAAGGCAAGTTTATTTATATAGCACTTTTCAACACAAGGCAATTCAAAGGTGCTTTACAAAAATGAAAGACCATTAAGAAAATGGCATTTTAAAATCAGTCATATAAAAGAAAAGCTAATAAAATAAACATTTAAAAGAAAAAAATACATGGATAAAAGTTTACAGTGCAGTTTAAGATATGAATAGTTCAATTAAAAGCAGCGACCAAAAAGATAAAGTCTTCAGCTGGATTTAAAAGTAGTAACGAGTTGCAGCGGACCGCAGGTTTTCTGGGAGTTTGTTCCAGATATTTGGAGCATAATAACTGAACGCTGCATTTCCATGTTTAGTTCTGACTCTGGGGACAGAAAGCTGACCAGTCCCTAACCCTAACCCTGACCTGAGAGATCTGGATGGTTCATAATTTAGCAGGAGGTCAGTAATGTATTTTGGGCCTAAACCATTCAGTGCTTTATAAACCAGTAGCAATATTTTGAAATCTATTCTTTGACACACAGGAAGCCTGTGTAAAGACTTCAGAACAGGAGTGATGTGATCCACTTTCTTAGTGTTAGTGAGGACTCGAGCAGCGGCGTTCTGAATCAGCTGCAGCTTTCTAATAGATTTTTTAGTGAGACTTGTGAAGACACCATTGCAGTCGAGTCTACTGAAGATAAAGGCATGGACAAGTTTTTCCAAATCCTGCTGTGACATTAGTCTTTTAATCCTAGATATATTCTTTAGGTGATAGTAGGCTGATTTATTAACTGTTTTAATGTGACTGTTGAAACTCAGGTCAGAGTCCATGACTACACCTAGATTTCTGGCTTTATCTGTTGTTTTGAACATTGCAGACTGAAGCTCAGCGCTAACTTTTATACGTTCTGACTTGGCTCCAAAAACCATTACCTCAGTTTTATCTTTGTTTAATTGGAGAAAGTTCTGACACATCCAGTCATTGATTTGTTCAATGCACTTACTCAGTGTTTGAATTGGAGCATAGTCTCCTGGTGAAATTGTTACGTACATTTGTGTGTCATCTGCATACTGTAGCTATGGTAACTTATTTTGTTGTTTTTCATTATCTGAGCCAGTGGTAGCATGTAGATGTTAAAGAGAAGAGGCCCCAAGATGGAGCCTTGAGGAACCCCACATGTCATATTTGTCAACTCAGATGTGTATTTATCTATAGTAAAAGGTTGTTTCTGTCCTTTAACTAGGATTCAAACCAATTTAGAACTGTTTCCGAAAGTCCCACCCAGTTTTCCAGTCGGTCTAGTAATATGCTGTGGTCAACAGTGTCAAACGCAGCACTGAGATCTAATAATACTAACACTGAAGTTCTGCCACTGTCTGTGTTTAAGTGGATGTCATTAAAGACCTTTACAAGAGCAGTCTTAGTGCTGTGGTTTGGACGAAAGCCTGACTGGAACACATTGAAACTGTTATTTAAATGCAAGAAATTACTCAACTGTTGAAAAACAACTTTTTCAATGATTTTACCTAGAAATGGGAGGTTTGATATGGGCCTGTAATTGTTCATTACTGAAGCATCTAGATTATTCTTTTTTAAGAGCAGTTTAATGACTGCAGTTTTCAGGGCCTGTGGAAAAATACCTGAGTGAAGAGATTTGTTTACTATATGAAGTAGATCTGAGGCCATGCAAGGCAAAACATCTTTGAAAAATCATGTAGGAATAATATCAAGGCAGCAGGAGGAGGATTTCAGAAGTTGTCCTCTAGGTTTTTATCATTAATCTGATGGAATTGTGTCATGGTGTTTGAATTGATGTTAGGTGGACATAGGGACAACACATTTGCTGTTCCTGATGCAGAGGCACTGACTGCTTGTCTGATTTTCTTAATTTTGTCAGTGAAAAAGGAGGCAAAATCATTGAACAAAGTCATGTTTCAGTTCATGTGTATGACATCAGAATGTGCCTGAAACGTGGTGATGCTAATGAGCATGCGCAGATGTAATAAACGGTCTGTACTCCAGGCCAAACTCAGTGCGATGTGGTCGTGTGTTTTTTCTGTCCGTTAGTGTAAGGGAAACTTCTGTAGCAATGGAGAGTCAGGACTCAGAGAGACACGAGGAGAGTTGGAGCTTTGATGTCAAACACTGATGGTTTATTACAAGTATCGGCCGGAGAATTCACGTCACAAGTCACAGCAGCCAGAGGTTCTGACTGCACGGAGAGTTGCCACATCAATTCTGAAGAGCCTCTCTCTCGATAGACCTTTTAACTTTACAGAGAGTTAATCAACATATTGGGGGAGATAACGTAAACATGGGAACACTGGAGATAGCCCCAACATCTGGAGACACTGAATCACTTGTCTGACCCTTAGGCTCGAAGCCAGCGTTCTTACAATCATAAATCATTTGTGACCGAGAGTTGCCCGGTCATAAACTGAAAATAACAACATTATAACTGGAGCAGCACATTCCTTAAAGGAGATAACAGAGTCAGGGTTGATCATAAACGTCAACAGGCAAAAAGGTTAAATATCTTAGGAGTAAGGGAGAATTATTCTCTAACAGTTAGCATACTTACAAACTACTTTGGTTGACTGCAAACGTGGAGACTTCTATCGAATATAATGTCTCACGCAACAGGTTATGGGCCCAGTCAAGGAGGCCAAAGGTGGTTTAAGTTGTTATTCAACGGTGACGAGAAAAACATTGAGTTATGGGAGACAAGGTTTTTGGCGCACATGGAACTGCGCGGCCTCAGTGAAGTTATCCTGGAAGAGCCAGCGATAGACTACAACGACGAACAAGCACTTGAAGAAGACGCTTTGAATGCAGAAGCATATGCTGAATTAGTGCAGTGTCTAGATAATAAAAGTTTATCACTTATAATGAGAGACGCAAAACGAGATGGAAGAAAAGCGTTGGCAATACTCCGAGAGCACTACGCAGGAAAGGACAAACCACGAGTCGTGAGTCTGTACTGTGAACTCTCTTCTCTCCACAAAGCAAGCAATGAGACTGTTACTGATTATATTATTCGAGCGGAGACTATATTCACGTCTTTGAGAAGGGCCGAAGAAAATATCAGTGACGTGTTGCAGATTGCCATCGTAGTGAAGGGGTTACCGGACTCATTCAACCCGTTTGTCGTGCACGTCACTCAAACCAACGACCGTCTAACGTTCGGTGAGTTCAAAGCTAAACTGCCGAGCTATGAGAGCACTGACAAGTATAGGACGAGTGACATGAATGCGGACGAGGACGGCATTATGAAGACTAGCGGGGCGAAGACACGAGGACGTGGAAGAGGGAAGAAGATGGACTTAGCCGACACTGAATGCTACACGCGGAAAGATGGGGCATATGGCTAGGACATGCCCTAACGAGATACAAGCGAGATGAGAGGAGAGACGGTGGGACACGCCACACCGAGGAAGGGGGCGAGGCCGAGGCAGAGGGCTGGGCCGTGATCAGGTGAAGAAGGCAGACGGAGACACGGAGGATGATACCGGTGCATCATTCTTTTT